AACCTATGACCGACCGATATCGGTTACGGTTATGACCGGTCAATGACCGGTCATAACCGTAACCGACCCACCCCTAGGCAGGATGCACGGAATCATCTGAAATTTAAAGATTAAATTTTCAATTTAAGAAATTTTAGATATTAATACGTAGTATAGTGATATTCTTACTATTTCTTCCAAATGCAATAAGGACATAGGCTCCAACTAGAGTCGAAGAAAAACTAAACAGACTAGATGAAGAACCACCAATATTTGAAATCGCAGCAACTGACCACAAAAATTTTAACGTGTCAAGTACCATAATTGAAGTATCCTTAGATCCATAAAATATTAAAATTTGGTTATATTGAGCTACATTTAGAAGAAAAATAATTATTTATTAATAAGAGCAGGTATGGTTTACGATATACAGTTGACTTTGGATATGACAAGTTTCTGGGAGACTATATGTGAAATTTTTAAAAAGTTCTTAATAGAAAATTTATTATGTTGTTATATAGAACTTCATAATAAATTTGTTATAAAAGTTCATTATAAAAAGGTTTGTTTTATCCAAAGTTGACTGTATTGTATAATTGAAAATTGCAATTTATATCACTCACGTATAAAGACTGCTCCATGGTCAATTCGCGGTGATGGAATGCTCCCTGAAGTTAACTGAATTTATGTAAATATAAATCAATCTAACATTAGCTAAAATAATTATTTAAAATAAATAGCAAAGATGGATAAATATATCTATCTTAATCTATTTTAATTTATCTTATTTAACAAAATATATAGCATATCGATATACGTATTTCCTCAAAACTCTGGATAGAATCCTGATCGGTATTGATAAATTTTATCTTATGTAGTCTCCGATGGGCTCTGATTCATAATTTTGGTGTTTGTCCCATAAATATAACAATAAAAGTAGCATTGAATGCAATGCAAAAAAAAAAAAGTATTCTTAAAGTTTACTTCAGTACTTATGAAACTTCCTCCTGTGCACTAATAGAGCCAAAAACTTATTGGTCATAATCAATTTTTTTATTTATCCCTAATACGTAACGTAAATAGCTAGAATCAGTTTCTTTCGAGTTAGGTGATTTTATATATCTTTTGATTTGCATATATCGATATTGCCTAACCGTAATGTAACTTTTGATAAAACTTACAATTAAGCTCCAAGTATTATATAATGGTAACTATTTAGGAAAAGTACTAATTAGAAACATATTATACAAATATAGTCAAGGAATTAAAGTTGCAAACCTTGTCCATTGAAAGATATGAAAATTCTGGATTTGCCGTTCTTAAATGTTGACCGCCTCCGATATATAATATAGATGTATTGTTTAAGAGTGTTGCACTATAACCTTCAGACCCAAGAGATGTTTCATCTCAGGTAATGTTGACCAAACAAAATTTGATACATCTAATTTCATCATACTAAATACACTATCCCCTCCTCCATAGACATATATTCCATTTCCTAAAGAAACACAATGAATATAAATTCGTTCTATAGAAGTAAGATTCCCAGATGTTACTGGTATACTCCATTTTTGTGTAGTAATGTCAAATACAGAGGTAAAATTTGAATCGGTTTCTTTCATGAAGGCCCCACCAATATAAACAATTAAATTGTTATTTATTCCATTCATACATGCTGTATGCCCACTTCTGATTATCAGACCTGGAATAAATGAAAGATCTGTCCAAGGCATTAATGCTATATCGTTTGTTGTAAAAGGTAATGAGACATCAAGGAAAAAAACGTCGGATGATGAACTGCCATTCCAACCACCATTAAAGTATATTCTATTATTAACAAGAGTGGCAGTTACTTCTGCCCTTGGAGGAGGAATAAATGCATTTATTCCACAGATGTAAAAATTAATCATAAATATTAAACCAAATTTCATCTTAACGTTAAAAGAATGGTTCAAGATAGTGAATAATTCTAAATGTTGTAATCTGAAACGAATTTATATTTATAACTATATAGTTTACTATTAGGTATGCGATATACATAAATCAAAAAACTATATGTGGTATTATTGTCTGGAGCGAAGCGATGCACTCATATTTCTATGACCGAAATTGCGATTTTGATGCTTCTATAACAGAAATATCAAAAACATTGTTGCAGCATTTCCATTTGTGACACCCTGAAAATTTGATCGGTGACATACATAACCAGATACCGATTTCCGGATCCTGTATGAATAAAAACCTGTACTAAGGTGGTACGTAACTCATAGACAGAAGTTTGTCTGATTGGCCAATAAATTCAATTTAATTTTACATTATTTATACAGTTTTGAGTACTTTTTAAAAAAATGAAACCAACCATAATAAAGTAAAAAAAATAACTAAATAGAATATCATAGTCAAAAATAAGATCTAAATCCATTCGTTTAAAAAAATTAGCTTAGTAATAAGTTGGTTTGAAAAGTTATTATTATACTAACTTTTTTAAACGGACGAGAATTAAATCTTATTTTTGGCTATGGATTCCTACAGCTCTAATGAAAACTTTTATACAATTTTTTTTATTTCATTATAATTAGTTTTCATCTTTTAAAAAAGTACTATATAAATAATGTAAAATTAAAACTATATCGGCAATACAGTAAAACCTCCATAAGTGCACACTCTTGGGACCAAACTTTAATGACATGCATTTAGAGAACAATAAGAAAGAATGCATCTATAGAAGTCATACGTATATATATTTGAGCCTAAATTTAAGCATGCTTTAGAGAGGTGTGTACTTATAGAGGGTGCACTTATAGAAATTTAAACTGTATATTGATTTTATTTATGTAATACATATAAAAAATATGTAGTTATCAAATTTCATAAACATATAGCAAACATATAATATATAGTTAATAAAGAATATAGTAAGGATTTAAATAGTATATATAGTTTATAAAAAAAATAATTAAAAGATTTTATTTATAATTTATATTAACTTTATCATAAAAAAAGCAATATTTTAACTCTAAATGTTAAATAGAAATTATTTATAAAAAATAAACTTTGTGAATTTTTTTAATTATATATACATAAGTAAATTTTTTTAATTATTTATTATTTCAAATTTTCTTAAATTTTATTTATACAAGACAAATCATTACTCTTTCTGACAATCACTTGTACCAAAACTCTGATAATAAATTAAAAATACTAAATAATTTACTAAATAAATCTTTTTTGGTCTTTTAAATAAAATTATTTGCATCAAAATTTTACATATAGACAGTCTAGTTTTATATCTTCTGAATCATTTTATAGTAAATATATTTCTTAAATTGCAAAGATATTTTTTTTAAAATTTTTTAATATTTTATTAAACTAATCTTAGTTACTGTCTAAAACAAAATAATGGAGCTTATTTAGAACTTCATTTTAATATAGTATATATCAATATTAAATTAATATTTAAGGTTTTATATTAAAAGTCTTCAAAACTCTCTTACAAAACTTCTGTTCTTTTTTGTTAAAACTTTTTTTTCTTTCTTAAAGAGGTTTTGTCTTCTAGAATGTCTAATACCTACAGATCTTTATTAATAATTTGTGTTATTAATTAATTTATACAAATTTATTCCTTATTTCAACTAACTTAAATTTTAAGTTTTTCTAATCTTGGTTTTATTAATTAACATTAAATTCTATTTAATATCAATTATTATAACTATTTAATCTATATATTCTATGTTATTTATTTGTTACACTTTCTTATTTATCATATTTCTTATTTGCATATATCTTATTTGTTATATAATTTATTTGTTATACCTCATTATTTGTTATATTCTTTTAACTATTATATTCTACATCTCTTCAAACTCATAATACTCACAATATTTCACAACAGATACAACAAATCAAACATTACAAAAGATTACATACAAATTATACATATTCATGTCTATGTGGAATAGTAGATCAATTACACTTACATCCTAATACTTGTCCACCAATTGGACAGACTATTAGGAAAATTAATATATGATCGACACTTTGGATTAATTATAGCACATCTTATAATCATATTTTAACATTACAAATCTAGGTGGGCCTTGACCACCATAGTCGGTTTAGGTCGCAGATAATGTTGTCTGAGCATGTAGTTTTATTTTGTATTTTACAATCTTAGTATATCTTTAATATATAGTATATTAATATGTACAACTAAAATTACTAATAAAGATATGAGCAAGGCCTTACCTTAATACCAAAAAAAAAAATTATTATATTCTATATTTTTAAATTCTCTTATATTCAAGATCTTAGTCATTTACTTTATTTTTATCTTCTAAACTTTAAACTATATCTACTCTAGTTTCTGAAAATCATAATTTCTATAATATTGACTACTACTATATCAGATACAAAGATTATTATAACATAGAAATAATCAAAAAAAATCTCAATCTTTATATATATTTTCTACAAATATTAATTTAATTAATTATAATACAGTTCTAAAAAATATTATTATTTTAAAGTTTTTTAACAATTTACTATTGCTACATGTCTTTGTAAAACATATTATACTGATTTTACTTTTTAGTTTTATAAAATTTTTTATTCAATATCTCTCAAACAATTTATAACTCAAACTACTTTTACTATTTCTACTTAATATTTTAGAAAAATATCTAATGAATTACTTCAATTACCTATTTTCAAATAATAATAATCTTACTTATATTCTTTTAAATCTTGTATATTATTTTTTAGTTTTCAAATAAATTCTATATTTTTTATAATTATTGTATATTTTTAATACTATTATATATGTCTATATATAAAATTAAAAATATTTATTATATATTTATAGAATAATATACTTATGCTTCTGACTACATAATTTGTATAATCTTTAAACAAAATCTAATTTATAAACTTTGAGTTTCTGGTTTATTGAATATTAAACTTAAACCTTTAATACAAACTTTATCTTTTATATTCTAATAAAAATTACTATAATCTTAATCAAATTCAAATTAATTAGCTTAAAGACCTAAACTATTTTTTCTATTTCTAAAAACAAATCTTTCTCTATTCTAATTTTTAAATAATAATAATTCTTACTTTTATTAAAATTCAATGAATAAAATCTAATAAAAAGATTCAATTTTTTAACTCTTTTTTTTAAAAAAGAAAACAAAAAAACTAATTTACAATAGTATTTCAAATAATAAAAACAAAAAAAAACTCAACAAAATACTAATAATAATCTTGATTGGTTTAAAGAAAATTTAATAACTAATTCTATAAAAAACAACACTAGATTTAATAACTCTATCTTTTAACAACTCTTATCATTATTAAACTGTATTTTATTAATATTTATTTAATTAAAATTATGTAACCAGTATCTAATAAAACTCCTAAATCAAAACTTAATTATAAATATTTAGTCAAAATTCTAGTAGACAAAAAATCTAAACTTTTAATTAATTTTATCTATAAAACAAATCTTTCAATTAACAAATCTATATTTATTTTATTTGAATTAAGTTATTTTATCTTTATTTCATTTCTTCAAGAATTTATTATAATTCTATTTATTTAACTGAATTATTCAAAAATTTTTGTTTTTTATATCTTTATTCCTTTATATACCACTACTAACTAAAAATAAATAGACCTTAACTTAGCTCATTTATATCTTATTTTTTATAATAAATACAAAATTATTTATATAAAAAAAATTTATAAAAATCATAAACTTTATTCTATTTATTTCAAACTATATTATTATATTAGTAAGAATAATATTAAGCATCACTTTTTAAAATTCAAAATGATGATAAGTTTAATATTTACATTTCTCTTAATATTTCTAAAAATAATTTTTTTAAACATTTCAAATTTCATCTTTAAAAAATTATTTAGTTAAATTTAAAACCTAATTTAAAAAATTCTTTAATATTTACAAATGATAATTCTATAATATTAACTAAAAAAAATATTTAATTATATTAAATATCAAATTGTTTTCAAATTATCTAATATATACAAAATCCTTTTATCTTCTAAATTTTAAATTATTTTTATTGATTTCTTACAAGAGTATTCCAAATTATGCTTTAAAATAGTTTTATATTATATTCAAATATATATAGTTGAAAACTGCATAACATTATCTAAAAATACAAAATATAATATTAAAAATTTATTTTACTAACTTATATAATTATTTTTTAGCTTCAACTAATATATAGTCTAAATCTAAATAGACATATCTGTAAAGGTTTTGTTGTTTGAAGTACTTTGTATATAATTTTGCCAATAAAAATACTTAAATTTTTATTAAAGAAATCTTGTTAAGTTTAAATAATTTTTTAAAAGTATATAAATTTAAGAATAAAAGTATATTAAAAATAGAAACTTAGTTCACTTATAAGGCTTACTAATCTATTAAGAAGATTCTGGCATATAATTAATAATAAATAAAGATAAAAATAGAAAATAAATATAAATTATTACAAATCAAAGTTAATTATTAATACACATATTAATAACATTATTGATAAGCAAAATTGTACTATAGAATAAAGTAAATGAGTTATAATAGTACTTATCTATCTATATTACATTTGCTAAATTAATACTAATTATAATTAATAAACTAATAAACTAAATATAACTAAATTAATTATAGTAATTAGCATGTAATTAAGAAAAGACTTAGAAAAATAATAAAAAAAAAATTACAGAGAAATTATAGTATTGTTACAATATCTTACTTTTGACTTCTCTATATTTAATAAAGACCAACCTACTCTGTTATCTTTAACAAATCCACACATATTATTTTTTTGCCAACTTGTCTCTAGTACTAAAAAAGAATTTATTAAACTCAATAATACAAAACCTAACTAAGTATGTGAAAACTACTACT